CTCTGTCCATTAACCCCAGGCCATGGCAAATGTCCAAGCCATGGAGTGTCGTTGCTCATGTTGATAGATGGGAAAGCAGTCAGACCTCTGATTTGGGCTTAAGGTAGACAGCAGGGTGAGGGTTCAGCAGCCCACTGGACTTAATGCCAACACTTTTGGATCCAGCTACCCCTGAAAGTCACACACACACACCAGGCCTGGCCTCTCACAGTGGAAGTCAGAGCCCTATGTCCTTACCAGCCTGAGGTTCAACTTCTTAGGGGGTCTATGTCCAGCCCACTCCTACTCTGCAACTATCTTTTGCCTCTTACCCAGTCACTGTGGGAGGGTACTACTGGGAACCTGAACTGAAATTATTTTGTAGTTGTTCTGTGTCTCAGTCTTAAAATAATTAGCCCCTTCCTGAAATAACTACTGATTAAACACTTTGGCAATATGGCAGATACTGTACTAGATTTCTTCTCCAACTCTACAGCCTGCCATACAGGAGTTACTTTTAGAGTAAAATCCCACACTGTTTTTACAGTTTATAGCCATGGCTTTTCTTAGGACTAGCACTGCTGGCTCTGGGGGCTTTCTGTCTATGAGTACAGGTTTCCCTATAGGGGAGCCTGGATGAGCTTCCAGGCTGTTTTGTTTCTTTGCATTGTTCTCCTTTTCTCCAGCTTCTCCATAGTTTCTAATTTTCCTTTCAATTCCCTCCTAATTCCTAGAGACTTCTTTCTTTCTTTTTTTCTTTTCTCTTTTTTTTCACCAACCTGTTTTCCAGGTGTCTGGATTCTGGGTCCTAGAGAGGCTACACTTTGCTACTGATTGCTACTCCACCATTGTGGTCTCCCCAAGTTCCTCATTTTAAAGTGAGATTTTAAATAATTAATTGAAACCAAGATCTGTCATGTAAAGGTACAAGATCCCAATAATGAACGTAATTGTACTGTATACCTAAAATGTACCAATAAACTCTATAAAAGGAAAAAAATTTGAGAGAATACGTATAAAACACATTGAAAAGACACAGTAATATTAGGAGTTTTTATTACATCTAGAAACAGAACACATCCAAAAGAATAGTGAAATTATTGTATAAATCCATGAATTTTGCATTTTTCCTTCTTTTTTTTCCCCTCATACTGTAGAAGTCATTGTGGTTACAACCAAGGATGTCCAAAAAACTCTGAGTGCAGATTTCAAGATGAAAATGAAACCAGATATTGTGTGCATTCCTGATGAAGCTGACATGGGAACTGCAGATTCTTTGTGCTACATATATCCAAAACTTAAGGTAAAGCACTATTTCTTGATTTTACTGAAGATAAATAATATTCTTGTTTTCCCAGTACATCACAGTTTATAAATGTTTTTTAAATATATTTTTTAGGGCATGGCAGTGCATGCCTATAACCAACCTAGCACTCAGGAGGCTCAGGCACGAGAACTGTCATGAGTTCAAGGCCAACCTGAACTATATAGCAAAACCCTGTCTCAAAAAAAGGAAAATAGGGGCCAGGGATTTAGCTCAGTGGTTCCACCACCTGCCTTGCAAGTGCAAGGACCTGAGTTTGATCCCTGGTACCAAAAAAAAAAAAAATAATAATAATAATACAATTTTTTTTTTGGTCACGTATGTTGTTGCCTGTGTACTCTTAAGCTGCTCTTTAGTTTGATTATTAGTAAAGATTTAGACATTCACACAGCCCAAATAATAATACATCTGTCTTTATATATATATATAAAAGATAATAAAAAGATAGGACTATAGATATAGCTCAGTGGTAGAGCATTTGATTAGCATATGGAAGGAACCAATTCACTCTAGCAGTGGGGAAAAAAGAAAGAAAAAAGAAGATATACTTCAAAAGATTTCCTTTATATGAGACCCATGAACAAACAATATATAGTGATGGAAATTAGAACAGCAGTTGACTCTGCAAATGAGAAATTGATTGGAAAGAAGCAGAAAGAAACTTTTAAAAATTCTGCAGATCAAGCCGGGGATGTAGTTCAGTGGTGCCACACCTCCCTGACAAGCACAAAATCCTGAGTTCAATCCCCAGTACCGAAAAAAAAAATTCTACAGATCTCTCATATGATAATATTTAAAATTTTAGAGGCTGTGTATAGAACAGTCTTCCCACTGGCTTGTGGCCCATAAGCTAAGAAATACCTATGTAGATAGTTCTAAAATTGATGTCCTTTGGGAAAAATTGTTTCTGTGATGTTGCTGTATTATTTGAATTAGGGGACAGACTTCATCCTATGTCTGGTTATTGCAAACAGATACTAATATTTTCAATTTACCTTTGTACTAAAGAACATGGAGTTAATAATTTGCACAAAGTAAAATATAAAGATACTAAGTGTACAGTTCAATGAATTTTGACAAATATATACACCCCAGTTACCATTACCTAAATCTAGAACAGTTCCTTCTTCCTTGAAAGTTCTTTTGTTCTTCTTTCTAGTCAGTCAGCTAAGTGCTGAACTATTTCTGTTGTCACTGTGTATTAATTTTTTTTGCTCATGAGCTTCATATAAATAGAATCATGCAATTTTGTTCTGGCTTATGTTCAACATGTTATTTTTCAGATTCATTCATATTATTGAGGGCATAATTCTTTTTTATTGCTGACTAGTATTCCATTGAATGAATATACATTTTTTATCTGTTCTGTTGACAGTTATTTAGGTTATTTCTAATTTGAGCTATTATGAATAAAATTACTGTGAACATTGTCCTAAAAGTCTTTTGTAAAAATATTCTAGGTTATAGGGTTTACTTTCTTAAAAACTAGCAGTTTTTCAAAGTAATTTTTTCTATTTTATACTTTCATTAACATTATGTGAGTTGGGGGACGGAGTGGCCATTGCCCAGGGGTGGGTGGGCTGCAGAACAGTGGCTGAAGCCTGAAGCCCGAAGCCCATGCTGCAGCAGTGGAGCATGGGCACCAGTGGCGTTGTATGATGAGGCAGCCAGCGAGTCCCAGAACCTGAGCCCTTGTAAAGGCAGAAATCACAAGTCTGAATGGTTGCCATGCCGAGAAAACCATTGACATGTCAAAACAATCAGCCCCCAAATTGCACGTGCAGAGGTCTGTGTCCTGAGACACCATCATTCACTTTTCAGCATCCAGGGAGGAGGAGGAGGAAGAGGAGGAGTTCAGGGAATATCTTGGGGAGGGGCTGGATGACCAAAGCATTGTAACAGGGCTTGAAGCCAAGGAAGACCTCTATCTTGCACCCCAGGTTGTCCATGGCCCTTCGGGCTCTGCTGTCTCATCCATCATGGCAGGTGAACTGTCCATATCCCAGGCCCCTGCCAGTTTGACCATCTCTGAGAACACTGTAAAACTGTTAGAATCCCCTCTTCCAGCAGCTCAAGTATTAAATGCAATGCCATTGGCTCTGTCCCATGATCATCTTCATCAGGGTCCTTAGCTAGCTCTCCTAGTGTGTCATCCCTTTCTGAGCAGAAAACCAGTTTCTCTTCCCCATTGTCCTCTCCTTCCAAGTCTCCTTTCCTCCAGTGCCTCATCTTCCACTCTCTCCAGCACTAAGCCCTTCATGAGCTTGGTGAGATCCCTGTCAATTGAGGTGGAGCCAAAAGAATCCCCCCCCACCACAGGCACTTGATAAAGACATTAGTCAAGTCTCTGTCCACCGACACTTCCAGGCAGGAGTCAGATACTGTGTCCTATAAGCCACCTGACTCCAAACTGAATTTACACAAAGCCATGAAACACAGGTGGAGATTCCAAAACTGCACCTTCTTCCCTGCTGACTTCTCCCTCTGATGCTCGCTCCTTTTTTAAAGTACCCAAAATGGAGGCGAAAATCAAAGACACTAAATGATGCCTTTCAGAAGTCATATATGAGCCTTTTCAGCTCCTTAGTAAAATTATAGGGGAAGAAAGTGTCAGCCATAGGCCCAAAGCCTTATCTTCAAGTGCTTTAGAACTCTCCAACCTGTCCAGCTTGAACTGGCATTTGGAAAGCAATAACAACTATAGCATGAAGGAGGAGTGTGACTCTGAGGGGGATGGCTCTAGCAGTGACTCCAGTGTCCTCAAGAGTGACCACCCAGAGCCAGGGATTTAGCTCAGTGGTTCTGGCGACTGCCTCTCAAGCTCAAGGACTTGAGTTTGATCCCTGGTACCAAAAAAAAAAAAAAAAAAAAAAAAAAAAAAAAAAAAAAGAATGACCACCTAAAGTCCACTGAAGAGCCTGTGAAAGAGGTGGAGACAAAAGTTTCCCAAGCAAGCAGCCTAAATGATTTAGGCATGAAGACAAGCTCTCTTGTCCTAGAGAAATGCTCTTTGTCTGCCTTAGTGAGCAAAGAAGATGAAGAGTTTTGTTAACTGTACACAGAAGACTTTGACCTGGAGACAGGAGATGAGGGTAGAGTTGATAAGCCCCCAGATGTCCCTCTGAAGCCATAGGTGCTCATGGAGGATGGCACGATTCTTGACAGTGAAGAGGAAGAGGACTTGGCCACACAGCACCCAGAATTACCTGTGAAGATGTTGGGCTTTTTTATAATGTGTGTCTATGCATACCTCATCCTCCCCCTCCCCCACTATGTGAGCAGACTCTGTCTGGGAGTTGGCCTTGGATTTGTGACTACAGTTTGCATGATTTGGTTTTCTATACCACCAAGTGCTCTAAATGTCACAAGTCACATAAACATCTGCAACACTGGAATATGAGATCTTTGGACATCAAAGAACCTGAAATACTAAAGGGGTAGATGAATGAGATTTACAACTATGATCCAGAAACTTACCATGTGACTTTGACACACCCAGTCTTTGTTTGACTCGAGGGTGGAACCTTAAGGCTTTCAAAGCCCAATAAAAACATATCCAAGAGGGTGAGCTACAATGAAACGAAGCCAGACATCACCAACATCAGCCAGAAAAATCTATGCCCTTTCTGTTTTTTTTTTTGTGGGGGTACCGGGGATCGAACTCAGATCCTTGGGCTTGCAAGGCAGGCCACCGAACCGCTGAGCTAAATCCCCAACTCTATGCCCTTTCTGATAGCAAGATTTATCTTGTACCTAAAAGTTTAACTCAAAAATGAATCTGGAATAAAAAGTACCCCATTTGTATTGAGGTTGGTCGACAAGATGACTTTATGTTGAAGACTCAGGCTGATAAGGAGACATCTGAAGAGAAGCCACTAGCTGAGAGAGAGCTGGAAAGGGAGAACCCTAAGAAGCCATCCCACCCTCAGGAGGGAAATCTGTCCACTGAGATCAGATACTGTAACTATTTGGGAGAAAAAGAGGAGTGGTTTAGAAGATTTATTCTGACATCTAAGCTGAAATCAGACCTCAAGAAGCCACCTGGTGTCTCTGGAAGTAAACCAGAGCTTTTGCCCACCCACAGCAGACCTAGCAGTCCTTCCAGGCACCTGACCCATAGCTGCAGCAGCAGCAAAGGCAGTGTGGAGGAGATCATGACACAGCCAAAGCAAAAGAAGCTGGTGGGCAGTGTGTGGCAGAAGATGCTGCTAGGCTACAGTATGTGCATGGGCAGGTGTGTGCCCCAGGAAAACCAAAGCCCCAATAGGAGCCCTGTGCAGAGTGTGGAGAGCAGCCCCACGGCTGGGAAAAAGTTGCCAGAGGCTTCACCCTCTGCAGAGGAAGAACAGGAAGCTTGGGTGAATGCCTTGCTTGGAAGGATATTTTGGGACTTCTTAGGAGAGAAGTACTGGTCTGATCTGGTATCAAAGAAAATCCAGATAAAACTAAGCAAAATAAAGCTCCCTTACTTTATGAATGAGTTAACTCTGACAGAACTTGACATGGGAGTGGCTGTGCCAAAAATCCTTCAGGCCTTCAAGCCTTATGTTAATCACCAAGGACTCTGGATCAACTTGGAAATGTCCTACAGTGGATCCTTTCTGATGACTCTTGAGACCAAAATGAATTTGACCAAACTAGGTAGAGTCTCTTATTGAAACCCTGAAGGTTGGAGAAATTGGCAAAGAAGGTTGCAGGCCCCAGGCATACTGTCTTGCTGACAGTGATGAGGAATCCTCCAGTGCCAGCTCCTCTGAGGAAGACGATGCACCAGAGCCCAGTGCAGGAGACAAACAGTTGCTCCCAGGGGCTGAAGGGTATGTTGGAGGTCATCGAACAAGTAAAATTAATGAGGTTTGTAAATAAAATTACCAAATCAAAATATTTCCAAAAAGTAACAGAGACAGAGTTCATGAAAAAGAAGATTGAAGAAGTCTCCAATACACCCCTGCTGCTAACTGTTGAAGTACAAGAATGTCAAGGAACCCTGGCATTCAACATCCCTCCACCTCTGATGGACCGCATATGGTATGGCTTCTGGAAGCCACCACATGTGGAGCTGAAAGCTCAGCCAAAACTCAGAGAGAGACAAGTTACTTTAGTTCGCGTGACAGACTGGATAGAGAAGAAACTGGAGCAAGAGTTTCAGAAAGTTCTTGTCATGCCACATACACATGATGTTTATATCCCTATAATGCACTCAGCCATGGACCCTTGCTCTACTTCCTGTCTCCTGAAAGACCCACCTGTGAAGGCTGCTGATCCACTGTAATGGGTGAAGATGGGAAGTTCCCTGTATTATGAGACCTAGCTCAACATATGGGGTTCCTGGCCACCGCCTGTGCTGTGGCACTGGCCTTTACCTGTGCCGCAGTACTATCTCTTAAGACTGCTTCTGCCCTTTGCCTGCTGGTGCCCATTCCACTGTGAGGTGTCATTTCCCACATCCGATGACAGGTGTCTGCACTGCCTGCTGCAAAGCTTGGACTTGGCAAAGGAGACTGAAGAATCATCATGGTGGACCCAGAAGTTACACATGATTTACATTGTGGCTTTTTAAAGTCTACCAGTTTTTGTGGCAGCAAACAGAGCACATTCAGAGTGATACTGTACAACTGGAAGACTTTCCCTTACCTCCTGGACCTCCTCCAAAGCTTTTCTTCAGGCAGCTGGTGCACAATGGAACATTTTCTCACTCTACACTTTATACACGTGATTGCAGCCCTCCATGCTCCAAGAATGTCAATGTGATAACATGTATGGCGAGTGGAATTCTGTGAGCCATGTCATTGGTGGTAAAGAGATAGGCATAGCAACTTACTTTTTTTCATTTTAAATTGTGCATTTTGGAAGCAACTACCATAGAATACACACAACTTTCAATTAGGGTGGAGACAGTGGGATTTATGTAAACATTAGGCAAAGCCAATGAGATCAAAGCCTTTTAACAATGAGGTATAATCGTCTTGCTTCTGACTAATCCTGATTGTTTTCCTGAGACACGAGCATATGTGGCAGTGACAGATACTTCACACAAGGACAGATTGTTCTCCCTAGTCCAGATAGCGTGGGCCCAAAGACCCAGATTTCCTGTGTGCTCTAGGAAGCTTCAAAAAGGAAGGGGAATGCTTTGTTTATCTGATATGAGAAAGTTTTGTGGGCAGTTTTCTGATGGCCAAAACAGAACTGCTCAACTACTACCTGCTTTTGAGTCAAGACTAAAGTTTGCCTCCCATCAAACACTACATATTTCAAAATACGTGTGACCTTCCTTTAAAAAAAAAAATTATATGAGTTGGGCCAGGGATTTAGCTCAGTGGTTCTGGTGCCTGCCTCACAAGCTCAAGGGCCCAAGTTTGATCCCCAGTACCAAAAAACAAAAACAAAAACAAAAAAAATGCACTAGCTCAAGAAGAGTTGAGCATGTGCATGCAAACATTATATGGGTAGTACTTGCTGCACTTCTTCAACAGTTGGTACTGTCAACATTTTTACTTTCAGCCATTCCTAGTGCATGTATATGCACTGGTTATTTCATTGTAGTTTTGATTTACATTTCCTTGATAGTTGTCATGCTATCTTTTTATGTGCTTGTTGATCATTTGTGTATCTTCATGAAGTGTCTGTCTGTTCAAAGAATTTTTTTGTTTGCCTCTTTGTTATTGTTTATAGGAATCCTTTAATTTTTTTATTTAATTTATTTATTGAGACGGGATCTCACTATAGTTTAGGCTGGCCTTGAACTTATTACCATATGTAGCACATACTGGCCTCAAACTCACAGTGAAACTCCTGCCTCAGCCTCCTGAGCACTGGAATTATAGTCATATACCACCATGCCTGGCTATAGGAGTCCTTTATCTAGTCTAGTTGCAAATCTTTTTTTTTCTTTCTTTCCTTTTATGAGACAGTGTCTCATGTAGTTTGGCTGGCCTTGAACTCGGGGCAGTCCTGCCTCAGCCTTTCAAGTGCTGGAGTAACAGGCATGTGCCACCTTATCCAGCCTGACTTCACTTTCTTAATGGTTTCTTATGATGACCAGAAGTTTTAAATGTTTATGAAATCCAAGTTGCTGATTTTTTTATGCCTACTGTATTTCAATTTTTTTTAATTTTTTAATTTTTAAAAAAATTTAAATATACATAGCAAATGTTATCTTAGCTATTTTAGGTGTATTTTTGTTTTTTTGGTACTGGGGATTGAACTCAAGACTTTGCACTTGTGAGGCAGGCGACGGAACCACTGAGCTAAATCCCCGGCCCTCTAAGAGGTATTGTACAGCATGTTCACAGTAGGATTATTCACAATAGCCAAAAACAGAGAAACCAGTGTTAATTGATGCAGGTATCCTTACAATAGAGTATTACCTATAAAAAGGAAGACTTTTCTATAATATTCTACAACATGGATGAACCTCAAGGATGTTAGCTACATCCTCAGCCCTGCTTTACTCTTGATTTAGAGTTTGGGAGTTACATGTGAACAAGTTTCTCTAGCTCCTCGAGTCTTGGGAAGATGCAGCTGTTAATAGGAGAATCACCAGATGATTGTTATATTCTCTAAGTTGTTGCCTTTTCTTTCAATTGTGATAATTTATTCTTTCCCCTTACATCTAAGATCAGAATCCTTGCCAAGTTCTTGTGTACAGTCTCGTTTTTTTCTTCCCTTTCTTTGTTTCCATGTTAGGTATTTATGCAGCATCCCTTCCATATAATCCTACCTCTATGCCTTCTCCCAGCAGTAACATTAGTCACTTGCTGTTTTCACTTGATTTTTCCCTATTATAATGGCCCCTGAAACTCTGGCTTCTCATCAACTTTCCTTTCAACCTAGAGTAGAAGGCAACAAAGCTATCCTGTGGAGAAACTCAGACTCCCAAATATTTGTGAAGAACGAGGTAAAACCTGAACAAGCCCAAATTCAGAACTGTGTGGTTGGGATCAACATAAATTTGTAGGAAGGGCAGTGGAAATGCACATAGACAGTTAAAGTATGTGAGATAGCCCAAGAAGGCAGTTTGTCCATTTCCTGAGGGGTGTTATGTATTTCTAAAGGAGACACTTTGAAGCTGTGCCTTGATTTAAAAGAAATGGCTCTTTGAGTCTGTTGATTTCTCTTCCTCTGTGCTCACAAGAGTTTCCTAAACAGCTGGATGGGCCAGGGATTTAGCTTTGTGCTTCCACTGCCTGCCTTGCAAGCTAAACAGCTGGAGCCTCTTTTGGTCTGTTTCCAGTAAGCTTTTCGGTAAGATAAGAACATTTATTTTAGAAGTTTAAGTTCATTAACTTTTGGTTCTTTTACCATTATCTACTTCCCCAAGATGGAGTTCCCCAAGTATTATTGTGAGGTTATTCTATTTAGCTTCTTCCTTTTCTTAGAGAAAGACCAGAGTAGTATATTTACTTTGTTTAGCATTTTATATTTAAAATGCAATCTTTTTTTCATTAACCTTGCATTTGCTAAATATATTCCTACTTCTGGTAACCTCCATATGTGCTTATAAGACATTGAAGCTGAATTCCATGTTTGCTAACATTTTTTCAAGAATAAGACATATATTTCATTTGGTTTTGTTGAGGACGGAATTGGCAAGTGACATGCACATAGAGACAAGCTGAATGGAAGTAAAATAATAAAAAGTTTATTTGCCAGCAAAGGTTGAATCACACTCAAAAAGGCAGTGCCTGTGATCGACCTCCTGTTGGATTGCACCTTCCTCTTTTACAGGTTTTACAGTTATGATCTCATTCAGGTGGTTACATTTCATTTCCTCAGTTCACATTACCCATGTACAAATTAGAGTAACAAGATAGTTAACTTTAACCCAGACGTAACAATTCCTTGTAGTTAGGGAGTTTACCTTAAGATTCATCTAGCTATCTATTCTAGTGCACAGGAAGGGAGTGTTCAAGGTTAGGGATGAGGCCAGATGTCCCACTTCATGGTCAGTGCCTCCAGTGTCTGTTAATTTTGAGCTAAACAAAGCAGATTGCTGTTAGAGGCAGCAGAAGTCATTTTACATTTTTCTAACATTTTGTAGGTTTTTAGATTATTTACAGTTCTCGTATCAGTTTTATTTTCCTAGAACTATTTTCTACTTCATTTTGCTATATCTAAGCCCACAACTTTACTGATTTAGTGGTTCTTACTTTTTGTTTTAGCTGTCCAAATCTCTCCTTGACTTACCAAGAGAGATTATTGGTTCATTCATTCTCCCAGGCCCTGGGTGAGTGAGCTCCGTTCTTAAAACTGGCGTTGATAACACAAAGGTTTCATATTTTCTCTATAATAGTGTTTCATATGTAAACTCGTCCATTCATTCATTCATTTAGCAAATATTCAGTTTACTAAATATAACTATTATAAATATTTGTTGAACACCAATTGCAAACCAGTTTTAATTTTTTATTACTGAAATTTTTTAATGTCTAAAAATATAAATAGAACATTGTCCATGTATCTGTCATCCAGCTTCATTACAACAAACTATGGAAATCTTATCCCTACCCAGCTTGCTTCTTCCCACATTCTTGTAAAGCACATTCCAGCATCATATTATTTTATCTGTAAGTATCTCAAAATATATTGCCAATATGAAGGCTTTAAAATACATTATCAGATCTAAAATAATGTTACAAAACAATAATAATTATTTAGTATTGTCAAATATCTAAATAGTGTTTAAGTCTCTAGTTACCTCCCATAAATAAAAACACCCTCTTTTGAGTGTTAATATACTTCACAAAATGAATAAAGATCTCACAGGCCAGGTGTGGTGTTGCATACCTGTATTCCCAGCACTTGGGAGGTTGAGGCAGGAGGATTGCTTCAAGTTCCAGGCCTGAAGAGAGAGAGAGGGAGACTCCACAGAAAAAATGGTCACACTGTCTTAAGAATCTTAATACGTAGCTTTTCCCTTCCTTCTTTCTTTTTTCCTCCTTTATAATTTATCTTTTGAAGAAGCCAGGTCTTTGTAGTTTCCCAATCTGTATTCTGTTAATGCATCCCTGTGGTATTTGATGTGTTCCTCTCTATATTTTTTTGTAAATTTGTAGTTAGACCTAGAGTGTTAAACTTAGGTTTGAGGTGTTTTGGCAAAACTGCTTCATAGATGAGAGTGTGGTTTTTCCATCTGGAGACACATAACCATCGGGTTGTCTTTTGTTTCATGGTGATAGCAGCTGTTGATAATCATTGCCAGGAGTCCCTTGTTCCTTGCCTCCCTAGTTGTTTGTCAAAAACTGCATCTCTCTTCTATTATTTTACCTCAGACCCTGTTTATCTGTTTCTTTATTTCTTTTTCCATTTCAGGATTTTATTTTTTTACATTCTAGTTCCCTTAAAGCATTATGATTTGTATTTTTATTCACCTTTGTTTTCGTCTTAGTTTTAATCATTTCTGAAATGATTTTTCTCTCATTTCTAATTCATACTTCTAGTATGAATTTCTCTCATTTTCTAATTCAAATTTGTGTTATGATTTTACATTTTCTTTAGTTTATTTTGAAATATTAAGCTATGGATTTCATCATTTTGTAGGCATATCTTACATGTGCTTTCGTTGTCTATAGGAATATTCTAACCTTTATTTTTTTTATTTTTTATAGTAATTTTGCATAGGATTTGATCTTTTTCTGGTTTGTTTGTTTGTTTTAGAGTCTTACTGTATAGCTCAGGCTGACTTAAAATCATTCGGCCTAGGCTGGTTCGGTCTCACAGTCCTCTTGCCTAAACTTCCCCAGTGGTGGGTCTGTTTTGTACTTTTTCTGAAATTGGTTTTAACTAAATTTCTAGAAAGAAAAGATGAGGTCTTCCTCAGAAAGACAGGAGAGTTGCCTGGGTTGGTGGTGTACACTGGTAATCACAGCATTCAGGAGGCAGAAGGAGATGGATCATTAGTTTGAGGTCAGCCTGGCTACATTGCAAATTCAAGTCTGGCCTAGACTACATTAATAGACTGTCCCAAAAACACAGATACTGGAATTGATTTTTTTTTTGTATGTGTGTTATAAGACAGAGATCTAATTTTATTTTATTATTTTTTACTTAATTATTCCAGCACTGTATGCTAAATAGTCCAATCTTTCCCTCCATTGATCTGCAGTGTCCTAGATACATCTAGTGTATGTATGTTCTGTTCAACTGACCTGTTTATTTTTCTCTACACAAATACTATAGTCAGTTACTATAGTTTTATAATTTTAATATTTGGTAGGTTCTTCACTTACCTTATTAGTTTTGTTG